TTTTTTTTTTTTTTGTTTAGCAGTTACTGAAGAGGGAAAATAAAAGAGGAGAAAAAAACAGCAAAATTAACAAAGAAAAAAAGAAAAGAAAACTAAATTTAACAAAAAACAGAAACGCTGATAAAGAGGACAAATTGGTTGAGACTTTGCCTAATGATTTGGTTATTGTTGCTGCAGAAACGATAACCAATTGTTGCAACTTTTCTTATCAATGGTTAATCAAACAAAATAAAGTACGAGGAAAAAAAAAAGATGAAGACTATTTTACCGCTAACAGTGAATTTTGGTGGGTAAAGAACAATGGTGATGGTGATGGTAATGGTAATGATAATAACGATGACGATAACAATGATATTGGAAGTAATTAGATGATATGTTTTTGTATTTATGTGAGTAATAATAAACTGTATTAAAAAAACTATCAATTTTAGGAGAAGACAAAAAAAGTAAAATTTTTTTTCTGTCTCTTTTTTATTTTCTTTTTTTCTTCTGCTTGTTTAATGTAAAATACACTCAGATTAATCTACAAAAACAGACTATGTTGGTACAGTTTTACTACTTTATACACTTCAGTGACACCTATAGTTTTGTTTACCTATTGATATCAATGTGAAGCAATTTTCACTGCTTGTTGATTTTTACGATTAATGAATACATAAATGACAAATTGCTAAAACATTTTAGAAGTGAAGTAGAAAAAGATGCATTGTAAAAGTTAAAAATAATTTTCAATATTTGGAGATACTAAATAAAGCTGAAAACGACAAATGACAAAAACCTTAAACGATAGAATGTTTCAAACAGCTGCTGTGGTTAAAAATTTTTGTTGATGCACAGTTTTTAGCAGTAACACTGTCAGTTAGAAAAATTTACTTAACAAAATTATCAAATATAATTTTTTTAGAATACTATTTATAAAAAAACTTATTTTTTTCTGATTTTCGGTTTTATTATGCATTCCTTTCAGCTACCTTTTTAAATTTTTCATTTTGTTGTTAGTAATTTTAGGTAATGTTTTGATGTCTGAAACTTGCCGATATTTTATTGGTGTTCTCAGTTTTTGTAGATTTAAAAAGCAGGCAAAATAAGTTTTAAAAAAATGCCCAGTTTATCTGTTTGA